TTGGTATACCATCCAAATCAGCAGGTACAAACTTATTTTCTAGGAGCATGCCTTTTTCCCAGTTTAGCCTAAACTGCTTCTAAAATTATAGAAATCAGAAAAGGGCTTGTATCAGAATAAGAGCATCCACACAGGCAGTTATAATGATATTCCTGCATGACTGCTTATCTACTTCTTAGATAGCACACATGTATTAACATGCTAGTGACTACTTATGTGTTTTTTTTGTCCTATTCTCTCTCTGATTTGCCTATTTGGAAATGCAAAAGGAAGACTAAAGCAGGCTTATATTTTTCTCAAAGTGTTCCCATAACTAAAAATTTCCTATTGCTTAAGATCAGGCATCTTGTGGCAATTGATAATAGCAGTTTGCCTGGCACTGAACACACTTATGCACTTAAGAAAATCCCACCCAATACCTTGTACAAATACCCCTGTTTTTACTGTTCTGAAGATGGAACAACTTGCAAATCAGACCTTCTCTTTTATGTACACATGGTAAGATTTGGAAAAACACATGGAGATAGGGCATAAAAGTTACTGTACGGTCAACAAGAATGAACTTACAGTATATTAGTTGTGCCATATTAAGCACCTGTGTGTACTCTCCTTCTGTGTCATATATGAGAGTGCCTACCTCCCAAGAAAAGCTGAGTAACAACATACTGGTGGTTACTGAAGCATAGCCGAGGTGCTGTAATTTTGCACCCAAGCTGACCTTATGGTAACTTGCTTGTATGGTTATATGTTAAGTGACTTAGATACCAAAGTCACTCTCTGGAAAAAAAAAGTGAGACTGGTCACCCAAGGTGTATGTTTTTGGTGGGGTTTTTTTGTTTTTTTAAGTAGAGTGTTTAAATTATAGAGCTACACAATGGATTCAGTTGATGGAAGCAAAACTGAGAGCTTTCCTTAGCCAAACTGACTCACAGATCTGCATCTTGCTTGCCACAGAGGACCAACTTTATTTAGATCAGAGCATAATACAGCTTCTATTCCTATTTAATCATTAGTCTGAATGACAATGTCAGACTCCTTGTACCGTATTTAATCATTAGTTTGGAAGCTAGACACTATGCACTGTATTTGAAACCTTCATTTAAGAATTGCAGTAAGCACCAACTTTTATCACAAAGATCAATAAACACCATCAAATAGCTACCTTCAATCTCTGTTGACCCGACCCAGATTTAAGCAAATGATTGCAGAGGTGGAAACCCAGAGTATGAAGTCTATTGGTTGTTTTGCATTGTATTGTAGATTTTTTGTCAGCCTTGGAACAGTGACCATTTGAAATAAGATATTTTGTAGAGTTTTAAAAAGGTAATCTGCAGAGCAACAAACCTGGTAGGTGATAGCGGAACTACTCCCTTAATAGAGTGGTTTTAAAGAACATTAGTTAGAGTGTTGCACGGAGCTTCTCATTTTAAAAAGAAATGACCACCCCCCCCAAGCACAGGCATGCATGCAGACTACCAAGCCACTAACTGGGCCCCCGTGTAGTTTGGAAACAATTTAAGTCAATTTACACCTACGTGATATCTTATTAGGCAAATCAAGAATTTCTTTTTAAAAAAAGGTAGGTTATACGTGATGCCCACTTTTAAAAAAAGATTTGATTGTGGTATCTTAAAAGCAAGACCTAGTAGCAATAAGTATTTTTCAGCTTCATTTGTGAAAGGGAAAGAATTGCAAACCTAATAAAATAAATGGCTTGAAATCTTATTTCTAAATGACCATAGTGAATTCATATTTGTGCAGACTGGCACCATCATGCTGCCAATCTACTAATTCAGTAGCAACTATTAGCTAGAAAAATACAAATTCAATGAAGTAATCGGTCTTGTATGGTTTATCCAGCACAATAGTAAGATGCATGCACCATGCTTCTGGATTTTTAAACTGGTATTAAGGGGCCATGATAATGGGAACTTGAGTGATTTGTATACATTTTTAAGACTTATACATTTCTACTCCAACCATGCAGTTCATCCAATAAAAGATATCACCCACAAGAATTCCTGGACCATCATGGCAATATCACTTCAATACTACTAGGATTTTTACAGCAACTTTTACTTATCAGAAAGAGGCATACACCTGAAAACTATTTTAAAAAAAGACGACAAATATATGGTACTAAAACTAGGATAACTTTTTCCCCCACCTCTCTCTGGCCTCAGGGGCCTATAACAGCCTTCCACCTCCTACTATCTTGCTCAGTCTCCTTTTACCTTGTTGCATTTTTGCCTATCCCTTCCAAAATCAGTTTATCACCTTTTCCCCTAGAAAACACTACTGGGGAATTTCACTTGATTTTTTTTTTTTTTTGTTTACTTGCTTACCAGAAACAGTTTCACATGGCAAAGTATGCCATCTTTGGTTTAATACTTAATTCACAGATGTAAATTTAAATATATGTTACGTAAACTTCTGTTAAAGAAAATTATGCAAGAACATTGTAAAAGAAAAACATTGTCAACATTACTTAAAATTTGTTGAAGTCACAGTTAACACATATGTTAACTGGAAGAACTAATAAGTCTTATGTATGCATAAAAATCAACTCCTTCAAAGGCTGCATCACCAGAGGAACTGGCCTTAACACGTACATACACTCCTACTTCTTCTGCTTCCCAAATTAAGTTGAGCAGCAAACTATAGCATGAAAAAGTATACGTAAATCTTTGTGCTAGATTCTTTTCCTATTAAAACTCAGATATTCTGTTAACAAGTTGAGGTACAAACATAAAGCAACATACCATTACAGTAAGAGATGCAATGTATGTTACAAGCATTTGATTTTGTTGGTGAGAGCTACACGTCCTCGCATGTAAAAGAAACGCACAGAGAAAATGACCTACCGAAATCCCTGCTCCTTGATTGCAAAGGCTGGTGTTTCCAAAGGGAAGATCTCGGACTGGACAAACAGTTCTCGTACTCGACGGTCTATGACTTTTCCATATTGAGCTCCTGCATCAAGAATTACAACAGCTCCTTCATAGTGATGCTGGCCATCCTTGAGATCTCCTCCAGCATTCTCCGACTGTGAACAATATTTACATATGTAGTTTATCATAATGGTTAGACTATTTGTATAGAATCAGAATCAAAGCAAGCCTTTTTAAATGACACTGACTGGAAAACTAATTATCAAAAGGGCTAAAATAGAGTCACTGGGAAGTTTCCTTAACAGAATTCTTTAATAAAGAGCTACTGACAGCAAAAACATTTTAATGAAAAACATGAGGATTTATGTACAGCAATAACATGCAATAGCCAGATTTAGCTAACCAATATACCACATGGAAAACCCTGTGTGCTATTTACATGGGTATAAAATTTACTATTGATTTATGTAGCACAGAACTATAGAATACCCCCTCCTGAGCTGCCACACCATCTGCTCACTCACTAGGCCAAGCCCAAGGGGAAAAGGATTACTTAAGGCCTCTCCTTCCACTGAAGAAGTGGTACATATGATCTAGCCCAATACTGCCACTTTAGCCTCTGGAACTATGACATCCCAGGAAACACAAAAATAGCTTTTTATAAGAAGTCTAACATGCAATATAGTGGTTTAAAAGTGAATTTATCCCTAGCAAAGTAGTACTGGACTTAACTGCACTACTCAAATAGTTCAAGGTCAGTGGTGAAACTTGTCTTTCTTTACCACACCACAATGTATTCTAGATTCTGACTAGGAATAATCTTCTGTAGAGGATGAAAAGGCTACTTTGGTCTCCATACTGATTCAGTCTTTGATTTATCTAAGATTGTCAAAATCCCACACTAGCCATTTTGAATGCAACATTCCAAGCAGTTTATCATCATTCTGGGGAGATGGGAGGGGAGCATTACAAAACTTTAAAATCACGAAGGAACAGATTTAGAAGAAAAGACTTCTGCAGCTTTTCTGAATACATTACTCAGTGCAAATATTGCCCCAAAATCTTGGTCAGAGATCAACCTTTCCTAACATTTCATATTTTACCCAAGTGGGAAGTCTTTTACTCTTGTGTAACACCAACAAACAGTTACATAAATAGTAGCTCTAAAGCAATTCAGGCAGAATATATATTTTCTAATGCTACACGTTTATTTTTGATAGAGTTTAACAGTAGTTCAGCAGCAGGAGAGGATGGTTGTCAGCAGCAAATAAACCGAACTACCCTCTAATTGTGGTCTGCAGAAACCTCAGACAAAAATATAGAAAGGACTCAACATAGAAGATTTTATGGAAGGTAAGAGAGACTGCCCCTCAGTTCTATGAAGAGTGCTACTACTCTGGATCCTCTCCTCCAGGTTGCACCAGCATGGACTTCCCAAGTAAAAATATATTTTATATTTTGCTTCACGAAGCAAGAGTCAAGAAGCAAAAGAAAGTGCTTTTCTCAGGTGCCTCTGAGATGAAGTAAATTTTACCTGTAGAATAAACCAAGCTGGAGAAGACAACCTTTTCTAGCTCTGGGCCAGAATGAACCAACCCAGGTCAGAAGGAAGGCAGGCACCAGGACCTGCTCAGTATCGGGGCTCATCTCTCCAGTGGCACAAGGACAGTGTGGGATGCCGAATGCCACTGAAGGCCCACCTCTGCAGGCTGGATCCAAGGGCTGTGAGCTGCTGACCCCTAAACTAAGCTCATGTTCATTAAGGGTGGAAGACGCACTGAATTAAAACATCTAGAACTGTAGTACTGTGCTGGTGGCTACCTAGTTCCTCCATTGGAGTGGTAATCAAAACTCTGAGGGTTTTAGCAAGGTGATTTCTAGGCTTGGTCCAAGATAAAACCACCACTTCTGCATAAAGCTACATTGCATATACTCACATATTTGCACACAAAACTCTGACTATTTATACAATTTAACACCATGAAGTTTTGTTATTTTTTTAAAGAAATACGTTACTATGTTTTTGAAAATATTTCCCCCACCATCCCACCTTGTGTTAGCTCATTAATTATCTATAAAGTTATGAAAGAATTACTTTTTTTTTTTTAAAAAGAGTGATCATATTAAACTATTACTGTAGTCTTTTAGAAGATTCAGAGCATCAATCCTTAGTCCCAAAATCATATAAAAGGCAAAATAAAAATTATGATGGCACTATATTTAATTCACCCTTTAACAACAAACTGCCAAATGCTGATTAAGGGTAAAGTATGCCAACTATGAGAATTATCTTCTCAATTCCTCAACATCACCAGCACTATTTAACTTATGTTTAGGAGAAACACTTCAGTGGAATATACACATAAAAAGAAGAACAATTGGATAGATCTCTCGCAAACCAAGCTGTACAGGTTTTGGAAGACCATGGCAAAGCCTCTGGATCAGAATATTTATTCAAAGAAGTACAAACCTGACATCTGTGTTATCAGTAGAATATTATTCCTTCTTCCATGGCTACTTACTAATCAGTGAAGTGTTCCTCATTTTAAAAATAGGAAACTGAGATGTAGAGATTTAAGTCAATTTTCAAATTCATGCCTGAACACAGCACTATAGTGTTTAACCTCAAGGTCATCCTTCCTACTTATGAGTTAGGAAGCCCATTTAATATCCAATGCCAGGCTAAGTAAAACATTATGCCTTTAGAAAGCCATATCAGAATGCACTGGTTTAGAATGAAAGCTAATCTGTATTTTCCAAGATCTATGGTTAAAATGCCAGTTTTGATTACATGTGCTTAGTACTTCTATTTAAACATATGCAAAAGAGTGGTTTTAGGCTTTTGACAGGTTATTCTTAATGAATGAAAACATTACTCTTCCAGCTTTTGGCAGGGAAGGCAAGAGGGTGGAAAGAAAAAGACACTCCTATCCCCAGCCCCCCATAATATTCATTATTCTTTTGTTACATTACAATTTCCCTAAAAGCATTGATAAGGATTTACCACTTCCCTCCACAGTTGATAACATTGATAGAACTCTTATATGGAAGGGACAAGTAATTCAGATAGTCAATCTATATGAATTTAGGAGCAGATACTCTTCGTGTTTATGAAACACATTCCACCTTAAAGACAGTCCAATATTTCAGTATTTAATGCTCATCTGCAAAGGTTTCTAAAGTTTCTTTCCTACATTGAAACTGACATTCACAATATGCAGGCATGTCATTGTTTACCTGAACTGTTTACAAGTCTTTACTTTTCTTGGTTTAAGACAGCACAGGGGTTTTCAACCTTTTTTAAATAAGCATACCCCTGGTGGGCAGACACGGCATGATGGGGAGGGGGGCTTGAGTCCGAACATAGAGCTGTGGCACAGGGTGGTGGATGGTGGCGGCACCTGCTGCCACATGCAAACTCCACTCCCCCCCACCCAAATCCAACCGGCTGGGCAGCTCCTGTGCGGCCGGCAGAGGGGTGCCGCTGCCTTCATCCCAGCCCTGCTCCTGGGAGGCAGCGGTGCAGGGTAGTGGGTGGAAGCGTTCCATGCCTGTCTGTCTGTGTGTACCCCCTAGGGTCTTCCCACGTATCCCTGATTGACAGCCCCTGAGATGACAGAATCAGAGACGTGTCATTAAAATAATAAAGATAGTGACACATACGGGCAAAACATCAGCATCTCAAATGGAATTAAGGTCTCATTGAACTAGGCATCCAACACACAAGACAGTCCCTATTCTGAAGAATACTTAAGTAGGACAAAATCCTCACCAGCCTGCTAGTGCTGAATTTGCATGATGGGAAGTTAAATAGGTCAGCACCCTGTTTTAACCCTGTTCTCTGGGATCTCCACCAGGAACCTTACGTTACCTTACATTCCCTTGCCTCAGTAAAAAAACAAACACAAAAACTGTTTCCATCTACAGCAGACAGTTTATCTGAGGGACCAGCAACCAAGTTAACTTAGCACAACTGCAAGTCTCCGTACAGCCAAGGTACATTTCTGTGTCCTCACTTATTCCACACTTCTCAGTGTGCATAGGGGTACAATCCATGATTTTTTGTGCTGAAACATTAAAAAATTATTTCCCAGGCAATCGTGTCAATGCTGGGAAAGTTTGCCTGTTCAATGAAGGATGCTTGAGGCCTAGTGCTTTGGTAATTTTGCTCAGGTTACTACGAAAGTCAGTACCCAAATTACTGCACAGTTCTAATGCAAACTCTTAGCCAAGTAAGTCAGCTTGTGCTTATATCACCTTTACACATGGTTTTGAGGTATTTCCTTGTCAATGGCATGGAGAATTGGACTAAAACTTAGTAAAAACCTGTGTTCGCTGTACTGCACAGCCTGTACAGCACAGGCATGTGCTGCTAGTAGCTGTAAAGTACAAACATAAAGGATACTAATCTTAACTGGTGCATTAATCACCAAATATGGCCCGATGACAGTAACAGGAACTAGTGAATACACACACATACACACACACACACAGTAAATCAAGCCTCCCTAACTTAAGGCTTTGCTTTGAATATAACTTTGAAAAAATGAAGATGTTTTTAAAAACAACAATACAGGGAAGCCTTTAACATGTCAGCTTAGCTCACATACTGGAACACCCTTCACAGGCCAGAAAAGAATGGGGGGGGGCATTATGAAAAAGCTCAGATAAAAATACAGTGGATTTTTTCAGCTTAGGATAACTAATTTAAAATCACAAGGATTCACATTAAAAACCACATCATACGTGAAAGATTTCCACCGTTGTCTGTGATTGGTGAACCAAATAAACCAATTACACTACCGCAAAATAATATCATCTCGTGACTTTGGTTTGCCTAGAGTTTCAGACAAATCTAAATTCTGAATCCTGAGACCTGAAGCTGAAAATGAAGACTAAACTTAACATACTGAAATTATGCCATCACCAGTTACAGTCCTATGAAGGACAGGATTTTGAATCCCACTTCCCAGACCCCCTTATCTGAGCTGCCTTACATTAACTCTTTGACAGCAATGGAAGTCTATCAACACATTTTTTGGCATTAGAGATCTGTTATTTATTTTTGTTTAATGGACATGGTCTTAATGGAGGGAGTCTTGCAAAACTTATATGTGGATTAAGTAGCAAATACAATTTCTGAGGAATTCTAACA